CAAACCGGAGAAAAAAACTAAAGACAAAGATAAAATCTCAAAAGAAGTCAGAAAATCTCGGGGTAAAAAAAACTTCCCTATAAAGGAACAAAGATAAGAATTACATCAGACTTCTTGCCAGAAACCATGCAAGAAGGGAATGGACTGAAATATTTAAAGCGTTGAGAGGAAAAAAAAAAAACCCACCAGCCCCAAATGCTATATCCAGTGAAATTATCCATCTAAAATGAAGGGGAAATAAAGACTTTCTCAGACAAACAAAAACTGAGAGATTTTATCACCAGCAGCCCTGCCCTTCAAGAAACGCAGAAAGTCATTGTTCAGAGAGAAGGCAAATCATACAGATCTGCATAAAGAAAGAGTATCAGAGAACGAATAAATAAAGGTAAAAGAAAATCTTACATTCTTATTCTCAGCTGATCAAAGTGGTAATAGTAACAATGTATTGGATGATTATAGCACATGGGTGAGTGAATGACAGCCGCATTATTAGGTACAGGAGGGAAGGATTAGGAATACTCTGTTACAAGGTTCCTGTACGTCCGGTGAAGATGCACCCTGTTATTTGCAAGTGGGCTTAGGCTAGCTGTGAATGTATACTGCAAACTCTAGAGTAAGCAGGAAAAATTGTTTTAAAAGGTGGGGGAGGGCTGCTAATATTCTCCCCTTACAAAGTGGGGGACATAAGATTCATGCATTCAGACAGCGCAGCTAAATTACACTGCAAGACAGAAATTCATATGAAGGAGTCAGAGCAGGCAATTAACTCTAAGTTATTTCAGTGTGGATAAGACTTGCAGTTAAATAAAGTGGCTTGAACACACATATCTAGTTCTGTCCCCACTCAATCTTTCTGTTATGGAATGACAGGAAAGGGAGTTTTAAAAAGGCATAAGGCAGTGGTTGTCAAAGTGGGGTGCCCCAGCCCAGCAGCATCAGTATCGCCTGAGCCCTTGTTAGAAATGCCGACTCTCAGACCTACTGAGTCAGAAACTTCGGGGGAGGGGCCCACAACTGAGTTTTAACGAGTCTCCCCGTGATTCTGATGCTTGCTGGAGTTTGAGGACCACTGGTAAAATCCCCTAAGGACTAAGAGAAGGTGAAAGAAGACAACTGGTGTTGGTGCCCCTGCGGATGAGTGTGAATGAATGTACGAGAATCTAAGAAATCACCTCCTAAAGCCAAAAGAGGGAATGTGGGAAAGGGGGAAACCTGTATACTCTGCAAATACTCTCAGAGACTCTGGAATTGGTGGTACCAGCTCCATCTAAAAGTGGGGATAAAAGGGGTTAAAAATAGAAGGATTGGTTAACACATTAACTGCCATGTGAGTTGTATTTAACTCGTGCTAGTTTTGAGCCTGGGGCCTCGTGAAGCATATGTAACTCACACATCTTTACCTTGGGAGCCACGAGAACTGTTTTTCAAGTTGCATATAACTCACACACAGTAAACCATAAAAAATAAATTTTCCACTAAATAAAAAAGGACCGTTTTATTTTTTAGGTTTTTATTCTATTTTTGTAATGAAACATTGTGGCCCCAAAGAAAACATTTTTTTTCTGGTGTGGTAATGTAAATACAGATTACAGGGCCCCACACTGGCTGGAGCATTGGGACTTCCAACAAGCACCTCGGATGACTTTTATGACCATTCAAATTTGGAAAATCTAGAGCTAGTTTATGACTAGATTAAAGCGGTATTCAACTGCATGCATTCTCAGGCCCTAAAAGAATCAATACTCCTCTAAAAACAAACATTCAGCTAAACAAGTCAAGGTGGATCAAATGATCTACCTTGATTTAAAGCTTGATTAATTGTGGTCCAGGGAGGCTAAAGAATATTATTGAGATGTGGACTGGGGAGTCAGCTCCAATATCGTGATTTCCAATCTAAGTATACTTTTTTCCCTGAAAATTAACAATTCAATGGGTAAAAATTGAACCTATACAATTCTTAAAATATGAATTTGCTCACTTTAGCATCTCCCAAGATTCAAATGCCTCAGTCTTCTCAGTGCAGCCACCTCCTCCCTTCCCTGGTGGGTACTCACGCTGGTGGAGGCTACTGCTTCCTGAACGCTTTCCATAATGAATTCCTTGGTGATCCTGCGAGAGGGCAGCTCATTGAAGAGGGAGTTGATTAAGGCCACTTTCGCCGCATCCCGTCTGGCCTCAGCTCTACTTAAGCAACACTTGAGAGGGGAAGGAGAAAAGGAGTCATTAAAGGATTCAGCATCTCACCATTTCATCCCTGCGTCAATGGGTCTCTGGATGTTTCTATTCATACGGTTGCTGTCTGCTCCTGTTCTTTCATTCCCATTGCTAATCTCCCTGAAGATCATGGAGATTTTCTTTCAGCTTGAGAGCCCATGCAAATGTCTTGGTTAGTCTTCAATTACTTTTTGTCTTATTTCACAGTCATCGAATGTCTACTATGTATCAGAGCTTTTGCATACTCTGTTAATTAGTAATAATAAAAGTAATAATAGCTACTATTGTGCACTAGATGATTTACATTCATTATCAGAGTCTTGCTCAAATCCCTATTTCAGAGAAAAAAGTGTCAGGAAAAAAGGAAAACAAGGAAACTGGAGATACTTGTAATACAATAATTAAGAACACAGATTCTGGAGTCAGACTGCTTGGGTTTAAGTTCCAGCTATGGTGTTTACCAGCTGTAAGATCTTGGAGGGTTAATTAGTTTCTCTCTGCCTCAGTTTCCTCCTCTGTAAAATGGGAATAATAGCAGGTTAGACTCAATTAGTTGATATAGATAAAGCACTGAGAATACCTGGCACATGGTAGCACTCTGTGAGAACATTCCAGTTAGAAGCTTTTATCTTCAGGTTAGTACAAGGGTGCTGCTGTCAAAATCTATTGTTTACAAGGGCACTGCTATCAATATCTATTGTTTTTGCTTTTCCAGCATTTATCCCCACCTTCCTTCTAGTAACAGTTCCATGATTTTCTTGGGGACTAGCTTTCTCCCTTGCTCTCTGTCCATGCAGTTTGGATAGAACATATTCCACTCGGCCTTCTAGAAGTTAGGAGCCACAGGCAGTTTATTATTAGTAATGCATAAAAAATTCAGTTTTCCCAAATGTAATATTTTATTT